CTGTTCCATAATGTATTTGGCTATCCTCCTGGTGGTGGATATCTGAGTTGCTTCTAGTTTTTAATAGATTTTAGCTTATTATATATCCTTGATATCCTTTTATTTTTATGCTCTTGTGTCCTTGGATTTTCTATACCATCTTTTGTATAATTGTTAGTTAGATACATTCATATTATTCATTTTATTATTTTTAAGTCTTGAGATCTGCTTGAACAAGCACCCCCACACTTATTTTCTCTTTGAGAAATGAGAGAAATGACAGAAAACAAAGCCTCTGGCACACACAAAGTGAGAGAACACACAGGAATATCCCTATCTAAGCAGCTGCCTAGAAAAACACAAGAAACAACAAAAAAATTAAATCACTTTTGGAGAGAATGGGTATGAGGATCTTGCCTAAGGTAGTCTTAGTACTGGGTGTGGGGAAAAATGACTCTCCAGTTAAGCCCTCATATGTGGCCATATTCCACACCACCTATGTGTCCTTGAAAACTAAGCCTGTGTTCTAAGAATTGACCCTGTAGAAAAATTGACCCTGATGCATCTTAAATACCACATCACCTATCAGGTATGCCCTGTCTCTTTGGCTTAGAAATACAGTGTTCCCACTGAGTGGAAGACACTGGGTCTACTATGCCAGTACTCCCTAGACCCCTTAGAATCTTTTAGGACCTGGAACACATTTGTAAGCCTCCATCTGGAATTCACACAAACCCCTCTAGGACACAGCAGCCCACTCTGCTTTAATGCCCATCAGATTCCTGATGAACATTCCACCAACCCCTCACAGACAGCACCTTGTCATGATGGGCAAAGGTGTGACTTATGCAGTTGAGGGGGAGAAATAAATAATGTCCATGCACTTCTACCCTTTTCAATGCTTTATTCACTCAAATCACTCAATACAATTTTACTCTATAGGTTCTTAATCAAGAAAATGACAATCCTTAATGCTAGGCACTACAATAGACAGCAAATAATTCTAGGTTAATTCTAAGTACTGCAAACACACTTAATCATGACAGATATTCCTTCTGCGTGCTAAGCTGGAGTACCAGATCTAAAATCTCAAGCCTTAGGCTTTAAGTCCAGCAGACATACTCTTACTCAGACCACAGTGATCAGGTCAGGAACTGATGGAGGCTTCTCCTGATGTGGAGCTGACAGCTGGCTGAGGAGAATTCACTGTTCTCACCAGGGTCAAAATGTGGCTGTAGAGTTTGAGAGCAGTGAGAACAATACAGAGGATCAGGCAAATGATGAGAAGATTTGGGATGTCAGTCCAGGTCCTCATCAGGCTCTCCGGCATGTGGGCATCAGTGTTGTCTGGCTGAATGTCTGTTCATTTACTCCATCATTTATACTGAATTTTGGGGCTTCTGACCGCTCTTTCAATCCCTATCAGCTGGTACCGGGATTCTCAGTGATGTCATTCGTCCTGAGGTTAAGGCATCTGGGCTGGTGGTTCTCACCCTGATTTTCTCCGCCTCTTGCCTTTATCAGGGCAAGGGCAACATGACAGAGACTTCATTCTGAGTTTTGTCTGGGTTGTGAAAAGTGATTTGCTATGTCAGGCTATGCCTGATGACTATATTAGAGGGTTCTGTAGGTGTGCCTAGTGAGACTGCAGGTTCAAACTGGAATTTTAAAATGGAGTTGCTTAGGCTAAGGCCTAGGGCCATCTATACACACCTGATACATACTTACCTGATAATGACCAGTACCTATACCATTTAAACTTACCCTGTAGAGAGTGATGCTTCCTCAGATCCATTCACATAGTGAAGTTTCCGGCTTATAGCCAACCAGAGTTACCAGCCCTTTGGTGATTGCTCTGGATCAGCCATGTTCACTTAAAATAATCCCTTCATGCCAAAGTTCAGGCCCTCTTTGCTGAATTCTGTCCTAATCCAGTCACCAGATGCTCGGTGGTCCACCTGCCTGCTGACTTGTCCTAAGGTCAATTCTTGATAGAATATTCTAGACTCCCCAGAACCCCCAGGGAGTGCCCTCCATCTGGTTGCCCTATGTATCCCCCACCTCCATGCTGGCCCAACTCTGCACCTGGCCCAGCCGAGGGAGTCTCAGACACCTGAGTAGACATTTTTGTTTGTCCATGGTTCTCACCCTATTGACTGTTCTTGGTTCAAACTGGATTAGTGTAAGCCTGCTGTGTCCTGGTAAATTGGGCAAAACCCCTTTGCCTTGGTATTCCCTGCAGCCCATTTAACTCACCTCATTCTTCACATAGCCCATTAGAAGGTTGAGGTATATCAGAGATCCCCTGCATGCACTTCCTTTCCCACTTTCTTTGTCATTCCTTACAACTGATGGGGACAAAATGCACTGGGCTTTTGTTTCAATCTCTTCATACCATGGCCTCCTCCTTTCTCTACCCACATGACTAAGTGTAAAAAATGGTAGAGGGGGATAATTATAAATTTATGAAATCAACATCCTATAGTAGGGGGTCTTTCCAAAATAGTATACCTGTGAGGTAACAGAAAACAGATGACCAATTTACATGGAATCTGGACTTAAGGAAATGTGATCAATATCTGAATATCTATTGAATATAATTTCATATGTTATAATTCAGAAGACAACTTAAGATCTTGTGTCTTTTCTGTTTCATAGCATCTGTGTAACAATTCAGTTTAAGAAATGCTTTCTCTAATCTCTCATTTGATCATGAGCATGACCTTTTGAGTTAGATGTCATTATCATCTGTCATTCATGGGTGAAGAGAATGAGCCTCTGTGATCAAGTCATCACCCCTAATCTTATACCTCCTAGGTAGAGAGACAAATTTCAAGCCAAGTGTCTTGATACTGATCCCAGTGTAAAGATATGTTATTCTTAATTGTAATTTTTTATATTCTTATTCATAGAAAGCTCTTTTGGAGAGATTTTCATCTAGAGTTGTAACACATCACTTCTAGAGTCTTAACGTTCATTCATCCAAAGGCATTAACATTTTCAGTATACCTGCTTTTTTGATGCAGTTTTTCCTACTTTCTTCTTTTTAAGTAATTTTCATCCAGTAAAAACATTATTGGATCAGTGTTTAGAGACTGATCTCTTGATCATATTGCTTGCCTCTAATATACTGCCTTGAAAATTTTAAAAATAATGTCATTAGCATATTTTTTCCTGATAATAGCTATGTGCTGCTTCCTTAACTTCCTAACTATTACAGGTAGAGGGTACCCCAGACTGAAATCTACTGAGTGACCTTATAGGTATGAATGAGAGCGGCATTCCCAGACAGTCAGAAGGTCTGGTGTGGGACCAGAAGCATTGAGTTTGTAACCATGGAAGTGAGCAAAGCTAAATGGCCCATGTAGGAATCATGTTCATATGCTCAGACTTGCTCAGGTTTCATGGTCTATCACTCAACTGACCAGTGCAATTCAAGGTCTGTGATGCAAACTTTCCTGTGTGAGAGTGGGGAGCAGAAAAGAGGAAGTTGTTTCCCCTCAGAACACAAGAGGCTCCCTGGCAGAGGGGAAAACAATTGTTCCACTTGGAAAACAGGAGGTATCTTCATAGACATGAAAGGCTCTGAAAAGTTGTAGGTAACAGCTCCAGGGAGAAGAGAACGCTCCCTGTATACTTTGCCTTGGAAGTTTCTGCTCTAAGATTTGTTTATTTACTTGGGACCATGTCTTGCTTACTAAATTTATGTAAGCTTTTAAATTTAGCATTATTTTATATACTTTCTGTATATTCAGATAGCCTATTTTAATCCCATTGCATTAATAGTTACATAGTTTAAGTAATTCTCTATTATTTATTGAATTTATTCTCCATATTAGAAAAAGTACAATTAACCCATATTTTAGTGGAGTTTCTTTTTTTGAATCTGGTCTGAAAATTGAAATTACTGAGTTGTCATCTGATTAGTCCTGTGTGTCTTTTTCATGATGCCAGGTTGTTCTTTGAAATGATTATATAATTTCATGTGACCAGCTCCACTGAACAGTGGGTTTTATGACCTTGTAAATTTTGTTCTCATTTTATTAGATAAGGCATTGCCACATGGCTGTTTTATTTTGCTAAGCCAAACATTCTGCCAAATGTGGGTTCACTGTTTGTATCTTTTCTGATGCTCTGTTCATATCAGCTGCCCATTTATGCTGCAGGAGTATTTACCTTCCAGCATTATGTAGTTGTAAACTGTGTTAAATAGTTTAATTTTGTATTAACTTAATTGTCTCTCATATTTTAACTCTTAACCAATAGAAATATATTGGGATATGTGAAATTCTTATAAATCTCAAATACATTTCACTTTAACATATAAAGAAAATATAAGTTATATTTCCCCCATAGTTGTGTGCAAGTTTTGCTTCCTGTTAGGTTTGAGCTGTCACAGGATGGGCAGGTGCTGCCCCAGGGGATGGATCAAAATATGGAAACAAATCATCTGGGGGTGGCAAGGTGCTTTCCTGTCATGCTGAGACTGGGAATGTAGTGGAGATGCTGGAGATGGATATGGAAAAATAGTAAATCTATCAAGTCATATCTCAAAATGAGCTAGAAATCAAAGAAAGGAAGATATGGGATGAAAATATGCTTCTGTGGTTGACCTTGGTTTTACCAGCATCCTGCCCTTATCTTCAAGGACAAATTGTTAGAACAAGCAAGTGAAACAAGGGGGTGGATCCCAGGCACCCCTGCCACTGACTACTGAGTCCTTGCTCTTTGACTGTGATGGACTTATTGAAGATAAATGAAAATTTGCTTAGGGTGTGCATGTACTGAGAACAAGGGCTCATATTTATTCTTTCCCATTCCTGTTTTAAAAGTAGAACAATTATGCAGCTAAATGCTGTGTGTGTGTATGTAAAAATAAATCTTTTCATAAATTTATTTTTCCTTGCAAAAAAAATCTGTTGGCTTATTTGATCCCAGGAATCAAAATAGCTTTGTATATTTTAATCATTAATATGTGATTTCCAATTTAAATACAATTCACTGAACTATTTTCTTTCTAGTCCCCAGAGAATACAGAAGGCAAAGATGGATCCAAAGTAACCAAACAGGAGGTAAGTGTATCTTTGACATCCTCTTTTTAATTCTTTATGTTGAAATGTTTAATATGATTGTCTATATCTAAATGAACACTGTTGTAATAACATTGCTGAGCCAGGTGTGGTGGCACATGCCTCTCAAACCAGCAGCTCAGGAGGCTGAGGCAGGTGGATCAAAGCCAGCCTCAGCAACAGTGAGGCACTAAGTAAGTCAGTGAGACCCTGTCTCTAAATAAAATATGAAATAGGACTGGGAATGTGGCTCAGTAGTAGAGTGCCCCTGAATTCATAATCAATGCCCATACCAAAAAAAATTGTCGATACTACATAAATCAGATAAGTGTGTGGGTATCATCTTGTTTGACCAAAGTATATTTCATCAGGGTACACTGATTGAGATATTTTCCAATTACTATGTTGTTTATGTTTCTACCTGTTAGTTCTGTTGTCTATCAAAGCAGATACTGAAAGAATTCCTTTTGGGGAAAGAGTGAGATAATAGGTAATTCATATAGGAGAACAAAGTCTTCCATTCATAGCAAGAAAATGAAAGACTGTTGATTTCATAAATTTTCTGCTCCAGTGAATGAATTATCAATTACTCTTTAGATTCTAAATATTCACCTAGGAGGATTCTCCTCTAAGATCAAAAACTATGGAAGGATATATAATATGTCAAAATAGTAAAGCTTTTGTTTTTAATTAAGAAAACTCTTAGGGTATTAGGATAACCAATTAGGCAATGAATCAAAGATACTTTGTATTAAAATACAGAAACCTCCAAAAGGCCAGGAGCTTGAGAGAAATGCTTGTGTTTGAGCCTTGTTGATAATATTATGACCATTTGAAAGGAGATGGACTGAAAAGTAGGAAATGAGATGTATCTATGATGAAAGCCCTTCCCTTTTGCACAGAGCTTTACAGTGTGTGGAGAACTACTGCTCTTACCCTTGCACTTATAAACTCGAAAAAGACAAAAACAATATCCAGTTACAGATTCTTTAATTAGTGATTCACATCATAGTTCATAATTCAGAGAAGTTTGTCATAACGCCATCACAAGATTTGTACAAGGAAATTAATTCTGCCAAATGGAAACTCTTTAGCAGAAACTATAAAGAAGTAATCTAAAAGCAAAGCAAACAAAAGTGCCTGTCTTTACCATCCCATGTACCTAGCTGGGCATGGTGGCATACACCTGTAATCCCAGCTGCTCAAGAGGTCAGAGCAGGAAGATCACAAGTTTGAGTCCAGCCTAAAGAATTTATTGAATCCCCATCTCAAAATAAAAAGGGTGGGGTGTAGCTCAATGATAGAATGATAGAGTGCCTGTCTAACAATCAAGAGTTCAATCCTCAGTACTGAAAAAAAAAAAAAAAAAAAACCGAAGAAAGCAATGGCGTCCATTATATACCTGGCATTCACTGTCTTCCCGAGTTTGGCATAGTCATGAAGTTTGTGATCCAAAGTCAAATCACCATACAAATACTAGAACCAACCCCAAATAATAAAAGCCAAACCTAAACACTTAGGAAATACTTTTTGGAATACTTCTTGGAAAATGGCAAAGTATGATTTTTATGATAGTTCTTTAGTGTAATTAACCTTAATGTTTTTAAATTTATTTACCAAAGAAAAGCGTTTGGGTTTCTCCTTGAAGACTGACATTTTAGTTGATCTGTCAATCAGAAAATCTAGAAATCATTATAGATAATTGAAAACAGAAAGTCTTCCCAATCCCTCTACGCTACAAGCAAATCATGCTGTTTAGAATAAATATAAAATATATATATTGCTTACATAGCTGTCATATATACATGTATATACATACATATTTATTTATACATATATGTTTAGCCCAAGGACTTTTATTATTTATTTATTTATTATTTATTTATATTATGCTTTTGTTATTTTATTTTTTCTATTTTGTTTCTATTTATTTTGTGTATTTTTAATATTATTAGTAACAAAAATATTTTCATAACAAGACTCTTTACCTGTCATTTAAGCCAAGACCAGATTAAAACTCATGCTATGTCTACAAGATGTCAGCACAATTGCTGGACAAGTGAAAAGGTCAGTCACTGAGCTGGTGACTTTTGGTAAAAACTGTCAGAGAATACACTGATTGATTTTTTTTTTCTATTGAATTGAAATTCAGTTCAAGCTGAATTTTCCAGGTATGTCATTGAGTATGCACAGCTTTGACTCTACTGAATAGAAAACAATTACAAAGGGGGATCCTCTTTTGAAAGTCTTCCACCACTGCTGAGGTATTTGAAGGGCATTGTGCAGAGTGTACAGTACTTCAGGAGACTTGGACAATAGCTGAAACCATATATTATGATCATTATTTGAACAGTTTATAAACCTTTTCACATTCATTATTTTGTCTGATCCATACAATAGCCCTAAGATTCCTTCCTTCCTTTTCTTTCTTTCTTTCTTTCTTTTTTTTCTTCTTTCTTTCTTGTGCTAGAGATCAAACCCTGGGCCTTAAGCATTCTAGGCTCATGCTTTTCCACTGAGCTATACCCCTAGCCCCAGATTTATTTCTTAACAAAAATATATTAGCACCTAAAATATGCCAAGCACTATTTTAGGTCCCATGGATCCCACAGGAAACAAAACCCCAAAATTCCAGACTTTGCAAAGCTTCCATTATGGTAGGGATAAAGCAAAATAGTTGGATATTTGCTATAAAGAAAAATAAACTGAGGTGAGGGAATAGCAAATGCTGGAGAAGTGCTGTGTTGATAACAAGGAGATGTTATTATCCCTGTTTTAACTAGTGCAAATAAGGTTGTCAGAGAGAAAACAATTTGCTCACTAGTTGTGGAACCAGTAAAGATAGCTGAATCTCCTGATCCAAAATCCTCTGTCCCATTTGCCTTTTTGGCATTCATAAAGATACAGTAAATCCAGTTTCCAGTCTTCTCCATTGCCCATCCAAGGCTCTATCTTTCCCTACTTCCCAGTTTTAAAAAGAAGGCAATTTCTATTTACCTTCTCACCTGTCTTTGAGAATTCAAAGCAACTTGACTTTTGGGTTTTGATTAGAAGTACATGGTCAGGCTTAGGAGCAAAAGAAATCTCATGAAAATAAGACTACTTCCAATAGAATGATCCATACCTTTGAAGCAATATTCAACAAATTCTAATGATTCTCCTTGAATCTAGCTATCTCTGGGAACTTTTGTTTTTGTGAGATTAGACTTGTTGCTATTTTTGCAACTTGGAAGACTTCATGTATTTCAGGATAGCCTTCACCAGAATTTTCTCCAACCTAGGGAATGATCAATTAATCAAATTATTATTGGATGATTCTAACGTGCCCAACACCAGAAACCATAGTAATAAACCATCAACTTTATTGTATTGATGTCTGTCAATCTCATGGTTCATGCTTTTTTTTTTTTTAACTGAAGATTGAACCCAGGGCCTTGACCATTCTATTTAAGCACTCTACCACTGGGCTACATCCCCAGTCCTTTCTCTTTTTTTCCGCTTTATTAGGCAGGATCTCAGTAGGTTGCCCAAGTAGGCTACCCTTCTGCTTCAGCCTCCCAAGTAGTTGGGATTACATGTGTGCACAATTACAACGGACCGGTGACTTGTCATTCTAAAAGCCTTCTTCTTCTCTGAGTGTCATTGTTTTGCCTGCTTTTCCTGAGGTTTCACACTTAATCAACAAATGAAGAGAAATTCTTAATATCTTCTTTTTTCCTAGTCCTACCCAACCAGCCTGAGTGTTAATTTAAGTACTTCAAATGCTAGTGTTTTAACAAGGAAAAAATAGCAGTCTAGTCTATTTCATATCCAATAAATATAGTTCAATCATTTATAGATTTTAAGGCTGTGAAAGCTGATGGAACTTTCCAGGAAGGCGTCCACACTTGCATGCATAATCAGTACTGCTGACTGAGTGAAAGGTTAGTCTCTGCCTTCACTGTTTGCATGAAAAAGAAAATCTCTTGTAGTGGTTGCTAGAAAGAAAATCATAAGAAAAGTCTTTTTTTTTTATATAACATAGAAGAGCTGGTTAATTTTAGGCAGGAAGTCATAAAATAATTTTACAGTAAAAGATAATGCTTTTTAGAGACTGACTGGTTTAGACAGCTTATAGAGGGAAGCTTTGTTTTTGCATTAATTAATTAAGCTTTTTATTTTGGAACTCTTGTACTGAACTTGAACTAAGTCCTTTCAGGCCCTGCATAGCAGCAGCATTGGAATGTCCGCCTGGAAATACAAGATCTTTCTGACACCACTCAGCCTATTCAATGTGTTCAGGTGTTCACATGGGGAAGAGCAAAAGCGTCACAGAAAGGGAATTCTTCACGACTTTGTCCCACTTCAGTGAGATTTTACACAGGACCACTAGTTGACAGGCAAACACGCTTGGCTCCTTGTCAGGCCCACATTAGAGAGTAAATTAGTAATATACTAATTTCTGGCCACTTCTTTTCATTTCAACATATATTGAGGGCCCCCTGCTAGACACTGGAACTACCAAAATATAAGAGAAAGATTTTTTTTTTAATTTTTTTTTCAAAGAGAGAGAGAGAGAAGAGAGAATTTTAATATTTATTTTTTAGTTTTCGGCGGACACAACATCTTTGTTTGTATGTGGTGCTGAGGATCGAACCCGGGCCGCACGCATGCCAGGCGAGCATGCTACCGCTTGAGCCACATCCCCAGCCCAAGAGAAAGATTGTCCTGTACAGTAGTGGTAGATTTGAAACAGAAGGGGTGAACAATGAGGTGCAGTCAACATGGTGCCATCTGCTGACAACCAGGCAGGGGGATTCACATAAGGCCCATTCACTTCTCTTTAGCATAGAGGCTTCCACTTTTCTTCCTGGAGGATAACATGCTGCTTTCTGTACTTGTGAGATGGTGACAATAGTTCTTGAGGCAATACAGAAGCTTTGAAGCTGAGCTCTGTTTAGTAATGGTGGATCCTCCTTTGCTCCTTCATGCTCGGCATGTTGAAGAAACACAAGACACCCACTATTGCCCAGTTAAAGGGAAAATGTTACCTCTTTTTCAGTGATAACCAGGTAATGTGCTTGACTATCCTGGGAAAGACACTGAAGGATTTGGGTCTGATTCCCAGAGACTTGTGGGTGCATCATCAAAATGCATCTATGATAATCATAGCAAGCACTGTGGTATTTCCCATGGAGAATGTCATACACACCCTTCTCTCCTGGTAATCCCAGGGCAGTGATCGAGCTGTGTGCTGACCCCATACATCCTCCTGCTCCGGGCAGTGAATGTATCCCCGTCAACCACTTAACCTGCACAGTCACCTATTCTCAGCACATTCTGCTAGCTGGCCTTAAGTCCAGCTCTGATCTTTCCTTGAGACCCCAAGGTTAAAATTATTCATGGAGACTCTGGTTCTTCATTTCCTTCTGTAGTTTAAAGAAAGATGAATTTAGATTCTCTGGCTGTTTTCAGTAAGAAATGCGATGTGGAAGTGGCAAGAAATATTTCTTCCAGTTTGGTGTGAGCAGCTGACCTAGACTGACCTAAGCACGACTTCAAGAATTTCCATGATTCCTTGCAATCATGGCACAGGTTCCTATTTTCCACTTTTGCTACCCTCCTCAAGAAAAAGTATTGGAAACATTCAAGCTATCATAATGAGGCAAAGTCTTCATAAGGGAGTAAGAATTTACTCAGCAAGTATTTTTGAGTATGTACTGTTTGTTGGGTAGTATACTATTCTTCTGGAGATGGAGCAGTGAATAAACAGACAAAATGTATGGAGTATTTATTTCTGAAATACTTGTAAAGAAGGGCAAATGTGGTTTTAGAATGTGAAATCCCCTGGGGAGCCAGTTTCTGCTGGATGGTAAGTAGAATATCAATTCTGTGTGTTATCACTGAAGCACCTAGGACAGTTCTGTTATTTTAAATTTCCTTTACAGTCTCATTTGCTATTAACTTGTACTATCCTTGAAGAAAAATTTTCTGAAAAAAAAAATCCAGACTTTAAGTTCAATATCAGTATCTAATCTGTACAGTCCCTCTCTTGGTTTTCTAAACTTTGAAATTAAAGGATAAGTGAACTTTTTACTTTAGTTAAATCTTTGACATCTTTTTTAGTAGATAAGTGTATTTGTTTTGTTATAGGCACAAAGAAATCTTTCTTCCTTATTAGCTGTGAAGATTCTTAGTCATTCTCTCTCTTCCGACATAGCAAAAAATGGGAGACTCCTGCTATTTTTGTTTCTTATTATATGTCTTCTTGTATTAACAAGAATAAGACTAGAGACCATTTCTTAAACTTCAATTTTATCACAAAAGAAAAGTTTATGGTTTAGGATGGAGTCAAAAGTCAACTTCCTTTCCCTTTTTTCTCACCATGCCCCTAATTGGTAGACGCCAATTATGTGAACATTGTGCCTACACCTCTTTAGGAACACTTTGTCTGGAGTTATTATGGTACCCAGGCAACTTGGGTGCGTTTCACCTGGAGAGGGTAATGGAAGTCATATATTACATTCTATCAACAAAGTAGGATATGTCAAGAATAATTTTTTAAAAGTCAACTTGGTTGTATGTAATTACAAAAATGTTTTTGTTTTTTCCATTCCTTTTGTAGCCCACGAGACGGTCTGCCAGATTGTCAGCAGTAAGTGCCTCAGAACCCCTTTGGTGTTTCTTCTTATGTGTACATTTTCCCTTTGTCTAAAGCAAAACAGCAAAAGGAAGATTAAGGTGGTATTTCCCTTGAGTTTCTTTATTTTATTTTTGAAAATTACTTAGGGTCACAATTTCTATCAAATCTGACCCATGTTTACCAAGCAGTTCACTTAATCAGATGTATCAGTGAAAATCAGTGACCAGTGCTATGACCAGGAAAATAAAGCCCAGGGTGTTGTTTGATATTGCTAGATCTCTTCAATGAAAGAAGTACCTTAAGCAAAATCATTGTCTTTAAACTGTATACCTGATGTGCTGAAGTAGACAAGATTTCTGATGTTTTGCCCACAACTCATACTTTAGAACATTTTATGCCAGCATCAGAATGCAGTCTGAAACCATACACTTTAGCCTCATTTCAGACCTGGAACATTTTTGGAAATGTAGTGATTTTTACCTTGTTACTTGGAGTCTTCTGTGAGTGGGGATTAGAATTAAAACTGGAATGGGCAGGTGTGGTGGAGCCTCAACCATAGCTGTGCTTCACTCTTCCTTGCCAGCCTTTGTGTACACTACACTGGCTCTTGTGCTCCACCATGCTGCCCTCCTGATGTACTGGTCCTCATTCTACCAGCAGACAGATCAGTCTGACTTTAGTGGAGGATTTTGGTCAGATTCCTGCAGCCCAAGCAGCTCACTGGGAAGGTGGGAGAAAGGGCTTGACCTGTTGGCTGATAGTGTTTATCCTGACACTAGATGTTATAAGAGCTGCAAGCTGGATTTTGTCCACAGCCCATACCTGTACACGGAAGTGGGTATTAGGACTGGTCACAAGTTCAGAATTGTAGCTGAGTTTGGTTTAAGTGAGCCAGTGTTTCACTTGAGTTCTTGTAAGGTAGAGGTATCAGAGCCAGCAGAAGGATTTAAGAACTACAGGTGCTGTTGTGAACCTCTAGTCAGTTAAAGGAATGGTCCTTGTATGTCAAAGGAAAACCAAAATTTAAAAGAAGACTTTCCCTGAATGCCAGGAACCAGCTATATGAGCCCCTTCCACTGAGATCACTCTGTGTGCCAACACAACCTCCTCCAAGGCTAGCAGTATTATAGACTACACAACTTCCACTCTTGGTCCCATCAAAATCACTGACTGTTGAGGCAGGGTGAAAGGTCTGTCTCACAGAAAATATAAAAAGAAATTACACATTGTAAATTGAGAAAATGTGTCTATTAATATGTCAAAACTTAGAATAACAAGTGTTTTAGATCGTGAAAATTTAGGATCAATGAAAGCTGCTTTATTTGGGGAACAGTCTACAGATTTAGGGTGTAAAAAGATTAATAAAAACATTCCTTACTTTTCAAGCTCAGTTTTATTTTTGGTATTTGAAAAGTCATTTCTAGCAGTCTGTCTTCTGGAGTTGCATTGCTTATAGTTTCACTTTATGCCCTGGATGAAAAGGGCCAGATTCAATATGACCCTTAACCTCTTGGAGACTTAGAGGAGGGACATAAATTTTTTCTCCATAGAAAGAGACCCTGGCCAGTGTTTTCTATTTAAAAACCATTCTTCTAGTGCTTGGAGAAAATGTACATTTTTTTCTAGCTCTATGAGAATATTTGCCTGAAAATATCTACAGAGAACCCATGGTTTAAACTGGTTATCTTTCCCCAGTGCCCACAAGTGCCTCTTGGTCTCAGACCCTGTGGAGCTGGCTCTATGGAGGAAGAACCATGGCCAGAGGGCTTTAGGAACTGCTTATGAGAATAGGAGAGAAACCACATAAGACAGGAGAAAATAGTTCCTAGAGGGCTCTCTTGCTAATATAGCTGCAAACTCTTAAACTTTAGGAGCCAACAGTGAACATGTTATCACTATAATTGTGTTCTAATGAAAGCAGTAGTGACAAATGAGCTCAGTGTCTGAGTGGGCGAGAGATTGTCACCTTAAGCTGGCATGGGAAAGGATGAAAGTAAGAAGAAGCTTGGATAGAGAAGTTGAAATCTACATCAGAGTGGGAAGGATTTGGAAGTGGTTTGAACTACTTCAGAGACAGCAGCCTTCATTATTAGATGGGCTTTGCCTGTGATTGTGCTGTGGTTTCTAGACTTTGGGGACAGCCAATGCGACTGAATTCATTGAGCCGTTTGGCCAAGGGCCTGAGTCATTCCTCTTGCTGCTATGCTGTGATAAAAGGAATTACAGAGACATCAGTGATAGAAGCTTAACTCTGTTCCCAGAGAGCTATTCTGTACTCGGGAATAATGAGTCGGCTTTCAATCTCACCTGCCATTGGCTTGCAAACCCAGGATGAAAATAGTTAATGAAATGCCAAAGTCTTTATGCTATTCCCTGATGCTGAAAATAGGGTGCAATTGCCTTTAAATGAATAAAGTAGAACTCAAAATGGACAGTTGTCTTTGCAGTCCTTTTGAGTTCCTCTTAGTGCTGACAATCCTCCTTGTCGGCATTTGTATAATTTATCTTTGCAGAAACCTGCTCCACCAAAACCTGAACCTAAACCAAGAAAAGCATCTGCTAAGGTAAGAGGTGCTCCCTTCCTCCCACCTTTGGTTTTTTAAACAATGAATAAATTATAATTCCTTACCCCAAAATCATCCAAGGAAACTCCATGTTTAATGGTTCAGGTTAAAATGTTCTGACCAGAAAGCCATTACCACTATTATGGGTTTTCTTAAAAGGCATAAAGCACAGTTTTATGCTTTAGCTGAATGTGTTTTCCATTTGGTCAATGAGGTGCAGGAAGTCAGAGCAGGTTGCTCTGGGAAGCCTCGTGTCCACGGGGGTGTTGGCAGCTGCCTCAGAACATGCAGTTCACACGGTTCCTGGATGGGCCTGCAGGGAGGGGCTTCTGACCTCACATAACTGCTGGTAGAAGGCCAGTCTCATAATTAATAATAACAAAATACTCATTAATGCCAGCAGATAATTGGTAAATAATTAGCTCATACTATGCCAGACACTGTTCTGATTGTTTGACCATATAACACTCACATCAACTCAGTTGAAGTAGATATAAACATCCTGTTTTGCAGGTGAGGAAACTGAAGTATATAATTATCAAGAACTTACCCCCCAAATTGCTTTTCTGTGCTCTGCCCTTCAGAGCACCATTCCTGTTGTGAATTGCCTGAAACTGTATGGTGATGTGAGTCGTTGATTTCAGAAACAGAACTCACTTAGGTAGCTTGGTCTTAAAATTAGGAAACTTTTCCTCATCTGAGCCTTTGTTTTCAAGTGCTTTCTCAGCTTTCAAGTCATGCAAGCCACATATCTCCATATGAGATGTCTTGTTGGAAAGCAGCAGCAAAGTCACCAAAGCCAGGTTCTCCCCAGCTCTGTTTCCTGTGTCACCAAGTCCTGCTGCTGCCCTCTCAATGGCAGAATCACTTCTCACTGTGGAGAGGTGGTCCACCCAACCAGTAAATGAGGGCTGCCATCTTGTTTTCCAAGGAAAGGGAAAGTCCAATGGGCTTTCAAAGCAGGCTATTAGATTTTCATGGAGACTCAGTGTAACTCAGTCAAAACTCAGAATAACTGGGTCCTCAGTTTCCTCTAAAAGGCCACCATGGTGGGCATAATTGTACTTGGACAGAGGTTAATTGATCTTGGCTAACCACACTGTGTCTAACATACTGTGTTTCCTTGTGCTTTGATCTTCTGTTAGAAAGAACCTGGAACAAAGATTAGCAGAGGTGCTAAAGGAAAGAAGGAGGAAAAGCAGGAAGCTGGAAAGGAAGGTACTACACCATCTGAAAATGGTGAAACTAAAGCTGAAGAGGTACTTTCCATAAATACCTCCCACTGATTGAATCAGTGTCTTAAAAACTGCTCAATCCTTCAGCCGGTGATAGCATGTTCATAATGTCTCTTTTTATTGCCTGTAATGTTATTGCAGATCCACATCTCTCGCTCAACTGTTAATGTCTCAGCCTCCAGAAGTACCCCACCCAGCACACTGTCAGTAAAGGGGCAGATTGAAACAGTGAGAGTTAAGGGTACAGTAGAAAATTCTGCATGTTTGCAGTGACTAGAATCAGATAGTAGTGTGATGTTTTTTTATTAAGAGCAGTGGGGGTTTGCAGGTAAGGTTTCTGTGGCTGTTTGAAAAGCAGAGAGCAATAAACGCAGCAGAGTGTTGGCATCATGTGCTCCTGCCTTGTCTGTTCTCCACCCAGAGTTGAAGTAGGTTGTACAGTAGAGCTGCAAAAAACATATGTTCAAAAGCGTGTGTGTTAGTGGGTGGACTTTTCCTTGGCTATCATAGTTTAAGTGATAACTATATCCTTTTATCTTTCTTTTTCACAGGCACAGAAAACTGAATCTGTAGATAACGAGAGAGAATGAATTATCATGAAAATTGGGGTTGATTTTATGTACCTCTTGAGACAACTTTTAAAAGCTATTTTTACCAAGTATTTTGTAAATGCTAATTTTTTAGGAGTCCACTAGTTGGCATACAAAATCTATAAGGATGGACATTTTGCCCTCTCATAGTACTTTTTGGAAATCTCCATCATCCTCAAGCAAAATAAATATCAATTTAATATTGGAAGCTGTATGTAAAATTGACTCAGCATTCCATACATTTGCTTTAAAAAAACTTGGTCCTGTGCATATGTGGTGTTTTTACTGTGCATATTTAAATTTTTCATGCAGTTTTTCTAGAGCAATAATCAGTGGTGCTTTTGTACCTAGGTTTTATGTGATTTTAATGAAACATGGATAGTTGTGGCCACCTGCTGACTATTTGTGGTTTAAAATAAAAGGTTTTCTTGTCTGCAAATTACCTGCCTCTTAGTATTTTTACTAAGTTGAGGGATAGTTTCATTTTATTATTGCAAATGATGTAAGGAATTTCTAGTCTGTCCCATGACGATATCTCTAAAAAGTCAAACAGGACTGTTTTTTAATTTTTTGACCTTTAACATTGGTATTATTTTAATAAAACATCTGTGACTTCTAGTGTAGAAGGATTACATCTAACTCACTTTATATCAGATGCAACTTCAATATATAATAAAAGCTTTAAAATACCAGTGTTTTTAAAGTCTTTAAAAACAAGATACAGTTCTGCCAAGCCATAAAAAACCTAAATACATGCTCATCTTTGAAAATCTCCCACTTTCAAAATGACAGTCATATCTGTGCTAAAATGCTGACCTCTTCATCGAGGACTTCACAGCTCTAAAAGCTCTTCAGCCAGCATGACCAAACTGCAGCCTTGCATCAGTCTGAGAGGAGGGTTGGCATAGATATTATTAGAGTTCTTTTCTAGGCTAAGAAGTGGGAGTGTGGGGTGCGTGTGACATACTGGAAGGGGAAAATCCAGACTGTTCAACCTTTGACTTTTAAATAGTATCCTTCTGTCTACAGAAGGAACAGAGCAATGCCAGGAACAGAAGAGGTGCTCTCTAAATGTGTTGTTATTGTTGTGATCCCTTCAGAAGCTTGGAAACTGTCAGCACCTCAGGAAAGCTGAATTGTCTGGATTCCACTTAACTGAAGACTAGCATCTTTTAAGATGTAGAGTAGTTTCTGCAAAAAACACGGTTGACCCTTAGGACTTTAGAGGCTTGTGTGTTATATTGTCAACAAAACAAGGTCCCCCCTCTAGCATGTATTTTGTTGATAAGAACTTAAACTTGGGTCATTGTACAAGTCTGTCATTGTCATATTATGTACAAGATAATCTCATCTCTAGTTTCCTTGGTTTCTGTTCATTTGTACCTTAACTCCTGAGTTTTAGAGATTCCTCAAACAGTTTTCACTTCAAAGAAAAATATCTGGTATCCTGTGAACACTTTACAAAAAATATATTTAAAGTGCCATTAATAACACAATTGAAGTACATTGCTGGCTAGTTTCCAATTCAGAAGTGCACTTTAGATTTACTTTTTAAAAATTACAAAAGTGATACAAGTGATTTTTTTAAATATCAGACATTATAATAATACATAAAGCAAAAAGCAAACCTTAATTAAACTCTTCCTTTCCCCCATTTCTACATCCCAGAGGTAATAACTGCATACCATTTTGTCTATTTGTGTGTGTATATAAGTACATATGTGTGCATGCACATACACATACGTATGCACATACACATACGTATGCACATAAATTTTTTAAAAGAATGGATCACACTATGTTTGAGTTTATTCAACCAGTTGAATAAAAGTCCAGTTGAAGATAAAGATTTTTTTTTTCTATTTCTTGTTTATTTTTTTATTTTTTTCCAAATACTGGGGTTTGAATGCAGGGGCACTTTATCAGTGAGCTGTATCCCCAGCTCTTTTATTTTTTTTTTTTGTTTTGAGACAGGTTCACTAAGTTACTGAGACTGACCTAAAACTTACAATCCTCCTGCCTCAGTTTCCTAAGTCACTGGGATAACAGGTGTGTACCTCCACACCTAGCACATTCCTATATTTCCAATATTTCAGTGTTACCAATGAAACTACAACAAACATGTTTGTACACAAAGTTTTGTCTACTTATGTTTTTCTGCTAAGCTAAATTGTTTTCCTAGAAATGGAATGTCTAAATCAAAGGAAATGTACATTTGACATTTTGAGGACTACCAAAATCGATGTACCAAACGCCACTCCCACCAACAGCTTATGAATGCCATCTCTTCCACCTTTGCCAAACTCTAATTTTTACCAATCTAATAAGTGAGAAATATGCCAGTTATAATTTTCAATTTTTGTCTTACTGGTTAAATTGAACTTGTGTTTATTGACCATTTGAATTCAGTGAATTCTGATTTCTGTTTTTCTATTGAGGAAGCAGAGTTTTAAATCATTGACTATTGATGCTATTACTTTTATTTCAAACATACAACAATCAAGAGTTCTGTGTGGAATACTGGTATATGTCTAAGTACATGGGTATTATTACCACATACTACAGTATGCCTGTGAATACTGTAGTACTGACAGCTCCCCCAGAACAACCAAGAACCTCAAATTGGTCCCCCAAACCTGAAGACCTGACTAATACAGTGCCAAAGCTAGGACAAGTTGCTTGCAATAGATTGTGCCCAATGGATTCTGTTGGAGTAAGAGGGGTTTCAAGAGGAATGTGTCCCACAAATTGCCAGTACTGTGGTAGGATAATGTGAACCAAAAGTCAAGATACATTGTTCTAATAATATGTAAACCATCCCTTAAAATCCTGACTGTACATTGATATAATAAGTTTGAAACAAGGTATAAACGAAGATAGTCAAAATTAGGGGGCTTTTCTCTTGGCTAGAGGTGTAAGTGCTACCCTTTAGATTACCAGATGAGCAGGCTTAGGGAAGCCATCTCAATTCTCAGCCATCACATGTTAATGTGTCTTTTCTTCTAATGCTTTTTTCTTAGTCATGAATCCCAAGTTTTTATTATTTTCTATTATTTTATTCAGAACATTGATTTTTAAATCTCAGGATAATTATAATGATTAAGGTAATAATATCCAGAACTTATTTGGTGCCCTATAATAAGCACTTTATATAAATTATCAATTTAAGAGATAATTTATGAATTCTTTAATTTAATGTCATGTTCCTATCCCCTCGTAAAAATATAAGCCCAATTTTCCACACCAAATAGTGGCTTTGGTTCACTTAAAACAGCAAAGAGAAATTTGTGATCATGCATCTCTCCCTTATGGCAGAAAAGAAAGTCTTAAAGATGATTTTTACATTTTAACCTTCATGCCCTTGAACTGGGCAATGATTTCTTAAGCATGACACCAAAGGCACAAAAAACCAAAAATTAGATGGTGTCAAAATTAAAAACTAAGAAAATAAAGACAACACACAGATTTCTGGGAGAAAATATTCTCAAATCATATATCTGATAAGGGTCTCGAATCCAGGCTATATAAATGACTTCTAAAAGACAATCCACTTTGGAATCTCCACATCATGTACAACCACAAGATTGGGATCCTAATTAGAATAAGATATACTCCATGTTTGTATAAATATGTCAAAATAGACTCTACTGTCATGTATATCTAAAAAGACCAAATAAAAAATTTTTTTGAAAAATACAATTTAAAAATAGGGAAAGGATTTGAATAGACATATCTTCAAAAACACAACAATAGCCAATAAGTGCAAGAAGGGATGGTCAACATAAGTCATTTGAAATGCCTTTCAAAACATAATAAGATTAGTTTACACCCACTGGGATGGCTGTAACAATAACAGAAGGAAAATAACCAGGATTAGTGATAGTATGAAGAAACTGGAGCTTTTATTCATTGCTGGTGGGAATGTAAAATGGTATAGCCTTTTTGGAAAAAAGTTTGGTAGCTCCTCAGAAAGTCAAACAGAGTTACCTTATCATCCAGCAATTCCAATATTAGGAATATATCCAAGGGAACTGAAAACATGTTCACACAAAAACTTGTATATGAGTGTAGTAAGAGCGCTTTTTATAATAGCCCCAAAGTGAAAACAATCCAGATGGCCATCGACAAATAAGTAGATTAAAACAAAACAAAACAAAGCAGATGAACCTTGAAAACAATATACCAAGCACAATATACTAAGTAAGAGAAGGTAGGCATAAAAGGCCACATATTTTTTTGTTTCCATTTATATGAAATGTCTATAAAAGGCATAGAGACACAGTAGGAGCTGTGGGAAAAAGAAATGAGAAATGGCAGCTAATGAGGCAGGGTGTGTCTTTTGGGGGTGATGGAAATGTTGGAATTAAATGATGATGATGCTTGCATGACTTCAAATATCCTAACAACCACAGACTTGTACTCTTTATTTAAAAAATGGCATTTATTATGTTACTTAGAAAACACTTAGAATCTGGAAACCTGGGTTTAAATACCAGTACTACTACTCAGAAACTATATGAAACTAGATAGGTCAACTTCCACCTCTCAATATTCTCATCTCTAAAATAGAGATAATATTTGCTTGACAAAGGCATTAGGGTTGAATGAGATGGTTACTGTGAAATCAGCATAGTACCTAATATGCTGTAGGTTTTCCGTATGCGTTAATTGAACTGGAATTGGATGAGTATCAATGGGTTTTGTAGGCACTCTCCAATGATTATATATCACATGCGTTTGTTGTCAGCAGTCAGTTTGGATGAGTGAGTCTCCCCTGAACAGCATGAAAGGAAGAATTGTGCTTCACTTCAAAGTACATTTTAAGCTTGTGAACTCTGAAGCCAGAGTGCCTGAGTTCAGTCCTGTCTCTGTTTCTTACTGACTGTGTTACCATAGACTGTTCACTCAGTCTCTCTTACCTTAGCATCCCCATCTACAAATGGGAACAAAAATCGCATTGACTGAACAGGGTGTAACACAAGTAAGAGTTCGGGAAGTATTAATATTATTAGCTAAAATGAGGGGCTGCCTGGATGTTAGCTCCTTGAGGGCAGGCAGCATGGTTTCATTCTCCCTTGCTCCTTCAGTACTTGACACATAGAGACCCACTAAGCAATGTTGAATTGACTGTGGTCTTCAATGGTCAGGGAAGAACTAGGCTTAGGGTTGTTACCACTGCAGTCTATATTCATCTCCAAATTATGCTAAATGGATGGTATAGCTAACCCTATCCACTACAGTTCTGGCCAGTATTGCTTGGAATTAATGCAAAAAATTAAGCCATCTTTATCTCATTTAGTTTTTATTTAGCTAACACCTTTGAAAACACTAGTGCCATAACTTTAAGACCTTCTTTCTGTTAGCTGTGGTACCGTTCTTGTGACAATACTTATTCAGCTCATGTACATACTTAACTTTTAATACAGGTCCAACTTCACT